CTTGGTCTTGCTGTACTTTTTTATGGATTGCTGGATTAGATTTGTTGTGTTAATGCCTTCTACTATGGACTGTTATGTCTTCCCCAAAATCATGTATTGAAGCCCTTAACCCCAATGTGACTGCATTCAGAGACAGGGCCTTCTAGGAGGTAATTAAGGCTAAATGAGGTCATAATGGTAGGTTCCTAATCTGATTGGATAGGTGGCCTTATATGAAGAGGAAAAATATCTTTCTTTCCACCCTTATATACAAAAAAAAAGAGGTCATGTGAGCACACTGTCAGAGGTAACTATGAGTCAAGAAAAGTCTAAAATAAACCTACATTGTAATAATTTCCAGTCTCCAGAATTGTGAGGAAATAAATTTCTGTTGTTTAAACTACCTAAACTATAGTGTTTGTCATGGCATCCTGAGCAGACTAAGGCACCTCCTTTTCATTTTTCTGGAAAAGATTTATAAAATTAGTTTTAAATCTTTAAAAGTTTGATAAAACTCTGCAGTAAAACTCTCTGTGTATGGATATCATATTTATAGGAAATTCTAAAATATTAATTCAATTTCCTTAATAGTTACAAAAAGATCTAAATTTTCTATTTATAATTGGATAAATTGTAGACACTTATATGTTTGAGAAATCAGTCCATTTCTTCTAAGTTGTTGAAATCATATGTGTAAAAGTTAATCAAAATATTTCTTTATTATTCCTTTGATGTTTGCATAGTCTATAGTGATGTTTTCAATTTTTTTCTAATTTCTACTGTTTTTACTAGGGGTTTATCAGTATGACTGAATATTTTTGAAGAATCTACTCTTTTTTTCATTATTTCCAGTTTCCTGGTTTTGATTTAATTAATTTCTACTTTTAATGTTTATTCTTTTCTCCTGCTTGCCTTGGGATTATTTTGCTCTTACTTTCTTGAAATGAGAACCTAGATTTTGACCATCCATTTTCTAATGAAAGCATGTTTTGCTATACAGTTCCCTTTCAGCACTGATTTACTTGTGTGTTATACATTTTGATATTTTCTATTTTCATTCTCACTTTCCTTTATGCATTATATTTTTGCTTTTAAGGCTTTCCTCTTTTACCTATGCATTATTTAGAAATTTGTTATTTAGTGTTTGGAAATTTCTCTACTTTGCTTCTGTCATTATTTTCCTGTTTGATTCCATTATGGTCAGATAATATACTCTATGAATTTAATACTTAATCTATGTTGAGGTTGTTTTAACTCCCAGTGTATGATCTATGTTTGTGAATATTCTTTGGTCACTTGAGATTTTTGTTTTGTTTCTTTTGGGGGTGGTGTACTGTAGATTTAACTCCTAGGTGTGCTTTACCACTGAGCTACATCCCAACCCTATTTATTTAGTTAATTAGTTATTTTTATTTTGATTTGAATCAGAGTCTTACTTATTTGATGAGGGCCTCGCTAAGTTACTGAGGTTGGCCTCAAACTTGAGATCCTCTGACCCAGCCTCTCAAGTTGCTGGGATTACAAACATGTGCCACTACACCCCAATTCTTTGGTCTGTTGAATAAAATATATATTCTGCTCTTGTTGAATGAGATATTATATATGTTAATGAGGTCTAGTTTTTTGATGGGTTTCTAAATTTTATATCTATACATATTTTTATATAATGTTTTATTCCTCTGGTTTTCCCCTATTGTTATTATACCATTTCTTTGTTTTGGATAGTTTCTCTGGTTTTAGTTTACAGATTTTATTTTTCACATATTTTAGTGTGGATTTATTTAGAATTGTGCTACTTGAGTTCTTTAATTTCTGTTTGTATTCCACTATTTCTTGAGGAACAGAACTAGTTTTGCTTCCTATACCCTTGCTCAGTCTCATTGATGTAGGGTAGGAATGGAAGCTCAGCTCCTCACTGAGCCAATCTGACATTAGTGAAGAGGTTGAGGGTGAAACTAGTGGTAATTAGCTCATTCTCAAATCCTCTCATTAAGTCTCATTGATGAGGTCTTGGTAGAGGCTTAACTTACCATTTGAAACACATTGACATTATTCCTACCAGAGTATCAGTGTGTAAATACCACTTTGCCTCAGAGATGATGGAAGCTCAGTTGTCCACTTGGCCTCACTGAAATAGTGTGTGGCAAAGTGAGGCAGGGAAGTTTTTCTCCTGGTTCTGTTTTCTGGAGTAGGGTATGTATTGCCAAAAAAGGTTTTGTATTATTAGGCCTCCCTTTATCAGACCTTTTGTGTTTGGACAACAGACTTTTCTTATAGATGTTACCATTTGTGCTTATTGAGGTTTCTGAGTTGGAGACTTCTTCAGCTTTCTGTTTAGGATCTATAAGACACAATAAGAAAATCAAGGGAACTCCACTCCTGTCTTTGTTCAAATTCTGAGGTCCCAAGTCCATTCATATCTTTTTTTTACTGCTTTCATAGATTCCCTTTACTTGGTAATTAACCTGTCTCCAGAATACTTTAAATTTTGAGAGACAGAGGACATATAAACAATTCAGACTATTTTATACTGATCAGAGCTGAAAGACTCTCTTTTTATATTTCCATAATATTTTAAACAGTTATGTTCACCACTATGGACATAAGGGCATTGCATTATGACCTAGGGGGGATTAAGTGTGTAAAAAGTGGTCGTTATACTATCATCCCCTAGAACATAGATGCCCTCTCTTTGATTTTGTGTGTCCTGAGGAGGGAAGATACAACACACAACTTTATTTTTCAAAGCCAAATGGTGTTGGAGTCCAAACTGCACACAAATGGCTGGTAGAATTTCTAGCATCCATAATTTTAAAGGTTTCTTCTCTTCTCTGTGGAAACTTCTTAGACTTTTGATGCTTACTTTGTCCCAGGGAAAAGAAGGTAGACATGTTTCTTAGTTTTTGTTTACTATTGATTTCCCCATTGTTCTTTCTACTATAGGATAACATCATAATGATCAACACTGGTCACTAGTTTGTTTAGCTGCTGTTGTTGAAGAACTCTGAGGTGTCCCTTTCAGTAGGAATTAACACTGTTCATAGATGGACACAACATCTCCCAGCTGCTCTTAGTGTTTCTACTCCTGGCTAGCAACTTCTACAAATATTCCATTCCTATATTTGGGATGCTGAGAGGAAGTGTGGCTTATGAACACTATATGACTAGCAGAAATTTTACTCATTTCTCCAAAATATAAGTGCATCAAATATGGATTTACACTATTTTGGTTCACTTAATAATTCATTGTCTTTGGAAAAAAAAATCATAATTTTTCCAAGCTGCAATTTCCTCATCTACAAAATGTGGATCATATTAATAGTGGATTAAAAAAAATAATATTTGAAACAGTCCTATAACAATATTTGTTAGTATAATAATAAATGATATTGGGAAGAATCATAACTGTGGTGCAGAAAAGTGTAAAGGAGAATGGGGTATGCAGTAACTGAAATGGAATGGCCAGGAGGCCCCATTGTGTATGTGAGTGAAATTACAAAAAGGGCTGGGAAAGGAGGAGAAAAATATCAACAAAAGGTTCAGGGATGGTAGAGGTAGAGAAAGCAGCATGGAGGTAGATCCTACAGTCTTCTCAGATGAGTCAGACAATTAAATTTATCCCTGTATGTACTTGCTCAGCAAACTGGTTTTTAAGGGGGAATATTGGGGCTTGTGCAGAGTTGATATCAGCCACCAAAGTCTCTGTACAATACAATCTATCAATCAGTATGTAATTAAAATCTGTGTGTCTGTGCATACTAGGTACAGTCCTGCTACTGGATTGGCTGTGAGGTAACATGTGAGGTCCACTGAGACTTTCAAGAGTGAAAATCTGAATTCCACATCTCTACAGTCTCATGGTTTTATACCTATGATGGCCTCCTTCTTCAAAGTGCTTTATGTCCTTTTGTGCTTGGGAAAATCATGTTCATCCCTCAAATCCCTTTCCCAAGGCCTAGTGGAGGGGTGATCTGGTCAGGTGCCTTGAGTTTATAGATTTGTCAAAGGGAATGTTTAAGTTAAACTGCCAGGAATAGGAAGGGAGGTGCCCATCCACTGAGGCACTGTTCCACTCCACCTCCTTAGGACTGGACGAAAGCAAACACCTCCCCCATCAGCACAGAGCACCAGGTTCTGAAACTGTGACCAACCAAAGGACTATGAAAATCATAGGCAGAATATGAGGGGAAATGATCTTCATTTGGAATGCACTCCTCAGAGATTTCTAGTGCAGGAACTCAGAAACCTTAATTTGAGGATGGGGAATATTTGTTTGAAATTGTTTAATAAGATACCTCACCAGAAGGGCTGAGGAAGGAGGGACAGAAAGGAACTAGCAGGAAGATGGGTAGTATCCCTGCCACTGGCAAACACTCCCTTTGGCTACCAATTTCAATGACAATCTCAGTAAAAGGTTCTCACAGTATTACACCAAGTGTATATTTGTTTCTTCCCACCGATCATGGTCAAGGCTCATCTAATCCTGTACTTGATATATTTTAAGTTTCAGATTTTATTCAAGTAAGAATTCTAGAGCTAGTTGGTTGCCCTAAAATGGGCGATGAAACACCCATGTATTCTATACTGAGAATTCAGGAGCTATACCCTCCAGCAATCTACTCAGGCCTCTGCTCCACACCACTTACCACTTGATCCACAGCCTCCACCTGCAAGCCAGCACGTGCTATCCAATATCCCCCTCCTCCTCCCTCCCCCACTCTCTCTCCTCCCCTAGCTTCAGCAGCTTCTCAAGCACTTCCTTCCTTCTCTCGGACTTGGCAGCCGCCTCTCCCCCATACTCCTAGGGTGCTTTGCTCCCTCTGACCCGGAGTTATTTGCCTGGCCCCACCGGTTTTTTGTTTGTTTGTTTGTTTGTTTGTTTTTTGTTTTGTTTTTGCTGCGGACAACCTCAGACTCGGTGCCTGGTGGTAGCCGCGATCTCCTGGCCCTTGAAATCCCAAGCTCCCACCTGAAGCGCAGACGCCTCCACCCAAGCCCCCGACGCCCTGCCAGCCACTGCTATGGCCAGTAGGAGTGCCACACACAGCCTCGCCGCCGCCTGCCAGACGGCCACCACGGACTCACGGGGAACAGACAGCAAGAAGCCGGAAGCACCTGCACTCAAGGTTGGTGAGGGAAGCTCTTCCTCTCAGGTTCTGGTGAAGCCAGGGCACAGAGAGGGGCTGCTACAGCCCAACAAGCAGAAGCAGCTAGCAACTTCTCGCTCTCTGGTCCATTATTTGAGGGGCCGTGCGGTGAGCACTTGGAGCAGCGCCAGGCTCCTGGGCTTCGAGGGTAAGCTGCACAGCTCTACGGTGCTGAGGCTGCCCGAGATACTGACTGAGCGCCAGCTGGCACTGGGCACCCTCAACAAGATTTTCGCCTCTCAGTGGCTAAACTCCAGGCAGGTGGTGTGTGGCACCAAGTGTAACACGCTCTTTGTGCTGGACGTACAGTCGGGCCAAATCAATCGCATCCCCCTGATTCGGGACAGGGTGCCCATTCTGTCCCGGGATCAGCCAACCACTGGCATCCATGCCATTGAACTAAATCCCTCTAAGACGCTTTTGGCTACCGGGGGTGAAAATCCCAACAGCCTGGCGGTCTACCAGCTACCCACCCTGGATCCCTTGTGCCTGGGTGACCGACATGCTCACAAAGACTGGATCTTCTCCATAGCCTGGTTGAGTGATACTGTGGCTGTGAGTGGCTCCCGCGATGGCACCATGGCCCTGTGGCAGGTGGATCCTGACAGAAATGCCAGCATTGCCCTGCAAAACGATGGGAAGTTCCCTGTGTATACCCACATCTATCCAAAGCACATAGAGGCTATCCCCAAGGCCAACAGCAACATAGGTAACCACAGAGTGCGGGCCCTGGCCTTCAGTGGCATGAACCAGGAACTGGGAGCCGCGTCTGTGGATGGCTACTTCCACCTGTGGAAAGCTGGAAACACCCTATCCAGGCTGCTGTCCTTCAGGCTGCCTTATGGCCAGGAAAGTATGTGCCTAACCTACTGCAATGACTTTTCCCTGTATGTAGTGGGCTCTTATTCTCATGTAACCTTCTTGGATCTGCGCAGAGGCCACCAAAACATTCAGCCCTTGAGTCTCTATGAGTGTGGAACAGGTGTACGCTCCCTGAGTGTCTACCAGCACATAGTCACTGTGGGCACAGGCCATGGCTCCCTACTCTTCTATGACATCCGTGCCCAGAAGTTCCTGGAAGAGAGGGCCTCAGCCAGCCTGGACTCTTTTCTGGGACCCACAGGGAGGAAGCTCAAACTCACCTGTGGCAGAGGCTGGCTCAACCGTGATGAACTCTGGGTGAATTACTTTGGTGGTGTGGAGGAGTTCCCCAATGCCCTCTACACTCACTGCTACAACTGGCCTGAGATGAAGCTTTTTGTAGCTGGGGGACCTCTCCCTTCAGGCCTCCATGGGCATTATGCAGGCCTCTGGAGTTAAGGCCTCATTTGCAAAGTGTATAAATTTACATATCACTTCAGTGTAACCTTCCTTCTTCATGATGCAGTTGTTGTAGTTCTTTCTTTTGTCCTACAGGTGTAATTGGCTCAACTTCAACTATGAAGAGAAGGAGAGGGAGAGGGAGAGGGAGAAAGTATAAGGATTTGTCTGCATCCTCTTTAGCATTTGTTATTTTTTTCCTTTTTGACAGTAGCCATTCTAATTAGGATGAAGTTGAATCTCAAGGTAGTTTTTGACTTACTAATCCTTTATGGCTAAAGTTATTGAAGATATCTTTAATAGCTAAAGATATTTATTTATTTTTTTGTGAGGGAGAAGGAGAGGAGGCAGAAGGGAGAGAAGGGAGAGGGAGAGAGAATCAAAACTTTAAAGCCAGTTGCTATGGTGCATACCTGTGATCCCAGTGGCTTGGGAGGCTGAGACAGGAGAATAACAAGTGCAAAGCCAGCCTCAGTAACTTAGTGAGCCTTAAGCAACTTAGGGAGGCTCTGTCTCTAAATAAAAATAAAAAGGGCTTGAGATGTGGCTCTGTGGGCAAGTGCCATGGATTCTATTCCTGGTACCAAACCAAAAAAAAAAAAAAAAAGTTGACCTTTAAGACTTTTCTGCATATTCCTAACATGATGATCTTGACTTTTCATAAAAAAAGTTTTGTCTAATCCTTAGTTAACATTCTGTCTTTGAGTGATTCACATATTCTCTCTGCATTAAGGAGATCCAATGGTGGTTTCACAATTATGCAATTATATTTCTTTTCTTTTTTCTTCTTTTATTACTGGTATTAAAATAGTATTGTTTTGGTTATTTTTCATAGCACATATATGGCATATTAAGAATATTTTCCAATAAACAGGATTTTACATTTGTTCCAGAGAGTTAGCTATAGTTTTTGTTTTTTGGTACTGGGGGATTGAACTAGGGACATTTGACCACTGAGCCACATCCCTAGCCCTATTTTGTATTTTATTTAGAGAAATAGACTCACTAAGTTGTTTAGTGCCTCACTTTTGCTGAGGCTGGCTTTGAACTCGCAATCCTCCTGTCTAAGCCTCACAAGCTGCTGGGATGGCAGTCATGTGCCACTATACCAGGCATTAGCTGTAGTTTTATAGCATTGTTCCAATTGGAAAATGCATTCCAAGTTCTAGATCAACTACTTTGGGGAAATTTTCATTTGTAAAATGTGGTCAGAGTGTATATTTGTATGTTGTAGGTAAGTGCATTTTTATTTAGTGGTGCTGGGGGTCAGACTCGAAGTCTCACATATAGGCAAGCACCTACATACCCACCCCTAAAATAGTTTTTTTAAGTTTTTCTCATATTGCAAAAGTTGTTGTTGTATCTTATGTTTGTTTCAAAATCCCAATTGGTTAGGACACTTTGAGAATATTAGTGTTCTGCTTATTTGAATGCTAAAGGTTAATCTGAAAATTGAATCAATGTTTTCTCTTCTTAGCTTTATTTAAGTTTATATGTTCTGTCCTTAAATAGATAAAAGAATGTGTATTTTTCCATGTCTTTCCTTAAAACAGTCAAGACTTGTGAATATATTAGAATTGTTATGGTTTTGGAACATGCACAAAATTTCACGCTTTCATTCAAACCAGGGATTCTGAGTGTAAATATAGAATGTATGGCAGACTGGCCAGAATGTATAAGGATCCAAGGTATAGACAATATTTTTTCCATTGTTATTTTTTTAATATCAAATGTTATATTTGAGCATACTTGAAATTTCCTAATTTTGTTTATAAGAAAAAAAATGCAAAGAAGAAAAAATGAGCCCATTCAGTTTATTCTGAAAAAATTCCCAATTTGTAAAGTCTAAATTGAGAATTTATTTGTGAATTTCAATGACTTATACCTAAGTGTGGAATAAATATGTTGATATAAAAAGTAGTAATGTTATAATTTTCAGTGTAATAACATGTAATTATAAATAATATTAAAATTTCAAGAAGGGATGCTGGCATTTAAATAGGTTATGTTGAAAAAAAGAACTATGAAGTTCAGAAAAATACAAATAGTGCACTGCTGTAAAAACATGTTGGTTTCTCCATATGTGAGAACATGGGAAGTAAAAAGAAGATTGGGCTTTCCTCAACACTGGCCAAGTTGTGCGACCTTGGATTGGTATTGTGTCGTGTCTCCTTTTCCTTAAATATTTTTGCATTTGTGCTTCCTTTGTGTCTGTATGGTACATGCAGTTCAGTAGCAATCCTGAATAAAAAGAGTTTACAAATCTAAAAATCACCTTTTGTTTATAGAGATAATTTTAACAGAATAATGTAATATTTGTTACAAAGCAGTAAAATGAGTTCATACTTGTAAATCAAACTCAGTTGAAAATGTCTGGACAACAGGGACTGTCACTGGCATCTTATATTCCCTCATATCTCCATTAATGACTAGAAAACCAAAGGTAATCAGTTATTACTTAATGAATGTTTCTGCCTCTGGAGACTAAAATTCAAGATTTTAATAAGTAGATATTTACTCTTGAATAATATAGGATTTGCTTGATCCCCTATTTTTCTTGAAATTTACCCTAATTCATTTTTAGCTCAGGCCATGGTGCTTTATCCATTCATATACTTAACTCATATGTGAAACCTGAAAATGAAATAAAATACATAGAGTTTATATAGCTAGAAATTTTTTATACTATAAATCAGACTTTTAACCTGCAAATAGTTAGATTTGAAAATTTCCTTAAATTTTTTTTTCAGAAAATGATTTGAAAGACCTCATTTTGTAGATTATTTTTTAACCTAAATTATATATTGGCTAAAAATCTCAAGTTTTACCCAAGAACTAACCAAAGTACTTGTTGTCTTTTTCTATATGTAGTAGGGGATTTTTACAGTAATTTTGTAATTGTTGTGGGACACTGAGAGAAGGTTTTCAGAGGAAATAACACTTTCTATTTGGGGTGGGATTTTAAAGCAGATGTAGAAGTCAAATCTCTAGTCTTAGCTTGATACTGAATGAGCAGCATCACTGACTCACTATAAACATTCTTATATCTGAGGGTATATCTTATATCTGGGGGTATATCACAGAATTTGGCTTTTTAATAACTAAATAGCCTAACTATGAGTGTATTTATATTTTTCAGTGTCTAGTTATTTTGAAATATTTTCCAGTCCTAGGACAAAGTACTCTCTAAAAGTATACTGAATAGTGTAAACTGTGAGTGTGAAATATATTTTTTAAATGCCATGCCAGCACTCCAGGAAGCCAATAAATTAAATTCACTTAAAATACAGAAGGGAATACAAATCTGTATGTACAATTTAGCTGACAGAGCTGCCTGAAACACCTAGTTACTTATAAACATTCATAAAATTGTTAATTGTTTGTGTTTACCTGTTCATATATTCTTTCCCCAGGCATACTTTTGACTCAAAAGTTTGTGTCCCCTCTACTCTTTGGAAGGACTTTATTTCTGGCTTTAAAAAAAAAAGTGGGGAGAAGAATTGCTAGCCAAAAATAACCACTGAAATAAATTTAGGAGACTCCTTTGGCAAAAATTCATCTGTTAAATATACTTTTGCATCAGTAATAAACATAACTGAATTATGGAGAGGTTGATTTTATCTGCCTGTATTCAGAGTTGAATAAGTTCTCAATTTTTTATTAATTGCTAATTTAGAGTTATTTTAGAAAGTAATTCGCAAAGTCCTTCTGAATGTTTTACTGGCAACTCCTTAATTTCGACAAATATGATGTAACCCAGCTATGCTAATTGTGTTGTGTGAGCTGCTCAGGGATGCAGTTCAGTGAGAACAATGTGGACTAATATGAAACAGAGGCTGGCTACGCTACAGGTGTTTGCTTTTAAGGGGTGTGATTTTAAAATCTGTTGAAAATGACTGTCTAGAAGTATTTCCCTCCACTTACTGCTATAAATCCAGAGACATCTTCCACTGTTGTTGGTATCAGTGAAAGGGCAATGTGTTTGCAGGAGGTTGCTATGAAATAGTCTGATCCTTAGGAAGCAGGGTTCTTTAACTAATATATTTAACTTTATACAGACATTGCTCCTTATTTAACATATCCTTTCTCTGTTTTTCTTCTATTAAATTATCTGTGTCTTCCCATTGAGAATGAAGTTCTCAACTTCCTCATGCATAGTGGATCTTCTAGTATTTTTATTATAGTTCTTATTAGATTCTAATGCAGTTAACTATATGGGTGTCTAACTCTCTTTTTCCATTTGAATGTGAACTAAATTATTCTAACATCTACTACAGTAGTTGCCATATATGGTAGTGGGATAGCCAGAAAAATTACTAAAACATCAATTCCTTGGAAAAAATTATTTTATCAGATTAGTTGACCATAACATTAGATAATATAGGAGTAAGTTGAGAGATAAAGAAAATCCTTAGAAAAGGACCCATGCATGATAGTGATCATGGTAATTCACAGATTAGAATAATATGATAACAGAAACTTAAAATTTTATTGGTACATAATAATGATATAGAATAGTGGATTTCATTGTAGCATATTTATTCAGGTACATAGCATAATTTGATCAATTTCTTTTCTCAGGACCTTCCCTTGCCACAGTTCCCTCTTCTTCAGTTTTCCTGCAATCCCTTTCTCTATTTTTTTCTGTCTAGCTTCTGCATATGATAGAAATCATGTAGCCCTTGACATTCTGAGTCTGGCTTACTTCATTTAATATGACACTTTATGGTTCCATCTATTTTTAAATATTTAATTGATTTTATAGTTTTAAATACATGATAGTGGGATGCATTACAATTCTTATTACACATATAGAGTACAATTTTTCATATCTCTGGTTCCATCTGTTTTCTTGCAAATGACACAATTTCATTTGTCCTTACGGGCCAATAAAACTTCATTGTATGAACAGAAACATTTATTAATAAAATATTTTTCCCCAGGGATCATATTGCATCTGGATACCAAAATGAAATGGAAAAAATATTATTTTAGAATCA